TTTCCAGTTTTCAGTTTTTCAAGATTTCAGTTTTGAATTTTTTCACTTTTTCGATTTTTCAATTTTCCTTCCATTTTTCAGTTTTTCAGTATTTCAGTTCTGGGATTTTGCAATGTTTCGGTTCTTCAATTTTTCCATTTTTTGATGTTTCGATTTCTCGGTTTTTCAATTTTTCGATAGGTATTTTAATTTTCCAATTTTTAAGTTCTACATTTTCCGTTAATTTTTTTGTTTTCCTTGATGTTTTGATTTCTCGATTATTCGATTTTTCAAGTTCTCGGTTCAGATTTTTTGGTTTTCCAATTCTTCGATTTTTAAATTGTTTAATTTTTACTACTGAAAACTAAACACAGAAAAAGTTTTAAAATCCAATAACTGAAAAATGAAAAAATTCTAAAATCGTAAAATTGAAAAAGTAAAACATTTTAAAAATTGTAATTATTATTACGTACTTAAAATGAAAACTAGAAAAACTGTGGATCAAAATTCAAGAAACAAAAAACTGAAAAATCGATAAACTGAAAAATCTAAAACTGAAAATACGAAAAATTAAAAAGTTGGAACACCAAAAAATGGAACAATAATAAGGAAATTAAAAATCGGAATGAAAAATTTTGGGAGACTTTGGTGTTCCATTTTTGGAAAATTATGACCTGACCTGTTTTTGAGTTAATATTGGGACTCCGTTTTTTTTTTTTGAAAATTTAAAACAATCTTATATTTTCTAAGAGGAATCAATCTCATTTCCCAAAATCAGTCTTATCTTAGGAAGTTCTAGCCCTCTAAGAAAATAAAGGGCAGGTGGGTGGGGCTCGTACTTGTCAAGATAAGACTGATTTTGGCAACTGAGATACCCTCTAAGAGAAGAAAGGGTGGGTGGGCGGGACTAGTATTTGCTAACATAAAACTTATATTGCCAAATGGCATACTCTCGAAAAAATAACGGGCCAATAGTTGGCAAGATAAGACTGATTTTGGCGAATGATATACCCTCATTTACCCTTTATTTTCTTGGAGGGTAAGTCATTTGCCAAAATTAGTCTCATCTTGGCAAGTATTGGCCCCGCCCACCCACCCTTTATTTTCTTCGAGGGTATGCCATTTCGCAATATCAGTTTTATCTTATCAAATACTAGCCCCACCCACCCACCCTCTCTTCTCTTAGAGGGTATCTCATTTGCTAAAATCAGTCTTATCTTGACAGCTACTAACCCCGCCCACTCATCCTCTGTTTTCTTAGAAGGTGTCTCATTAGCTAAAATCATTCTTATCTTAGAAGGTACTAACCCCGCCCACCCGCCCTCTCTTTTCTTCGAACATATTTCATTTGCCAAAATCAGTCTTATCTTAACAGGTACTAGGCCCGCCCACCCACCCTCTCGTTTTCTTCGGATCAATATGAAATTAAGAATCGAAGAAACGAAAAATCGCAAAACTGAAAAGTTGAGAAATCGAAAAGTCAAAAGTTCAAAAATCTAAAAATTGAAAATTGAATAAAAATGGAAAACCGAAATGTCGTTAAATCGATATTTTGAGAGATTAAAAAGTCAAGAAATCCTAAATTCAAAAAACTGAAAAATTTAAATCGAAATATGTATTGAAAAATCGAGAAAACCGAAAAGTCGATAAAAAAGGATACCTCGAGAAATCAAAAATTCAAAAAATCCTAAAATCTAAAATTCGAAAACCTGAAAAAATCGTAAAATCGAGAATTCGAGGAATCGAAAAGTCGAGAAATCGAACAATTTAAACATTGAAAAATCGAGAAATTGTGAAATTGAAAATTGAAAAGTGGAAAACCGAGAAGTCGATAAATCGGTATCTCGAGAAATCAAAAAGCCAATAATATTTAAATTCTAAAATTCGAAATACTACGAAATCGGACAATCGAAAAATCAAATATTTTAAAATTTAAACAATCGAAAAGCCGAGAAATAAAAAACCAAAGAATGACGAAAAATGTGAAAAATCTAAAATTTATAAATCAATAAAATTGAAACAGAAAAATCAAGGGACTGAAAAATCGAAATATTTAAATTTAAAAAATTGAAAAATTAAAATATCCAACTATTGAAGACTCAAAAAATTGAAAAACCGAAAATTGATGAATCCCAAAACGAACAGCTGAGAAATAAAAAAATTGAAAATCTAGAAAACGAAAAATTGAAAAATTAAAAAAAAAATCGAAAAATCGAGGAATCGAAAATTCAAAAAATCCTAAAATCGAAAAGTCGAAAAACTGAAAAAAATCGAGAAATCGGGAACTCCAGGTATGGAAAAACCGGGAAATAAAAAATAGAAGAATCGAGAAATCCAAAAAACTACAAAACTAAAAAATTGAGAATTCGAAAAGTCGAAAATTTCGAAAAATTAACAAATTGAAAATTTGAAATATAGAAAATCCAGAAATCGTAAAATTGATATTTGAAAAACGGAGAAACCGAAAACTCAATGAAAAATTCAAAAAATCCTAATCCAAAATTTTTAAAATCCAAGAAATCGAAAAATCGCGAAATAAAAGAAAGAAATGAGAAAACTATAAATCGCAAAACTGAAAATTTCAAAAAATCTAACAATTGAAAATTGAAAAATAGAAAACCGAAATGTCGATAAATCGAGAAATCAAAAATTAAAAAAATCCTGAAATCTAAAATTCGAAAACATGAAAAAATAGGAAAATTGAGAACTCGAGGAATCGAAAAATCGAACAATTTAAAAATTGAAAAATCGAGAAATTGTGAAATTGAAAAGTAGAAGACCGAGGAGTCCATAAATTGGTATCTCGAGAAATCAAAAAGTCAAGAAAATTTAAATTCGAAAAACTACGAAATCGGACAATCGAAAAATAAAAAAAAATTAAAATTCGAAGAATGAGGAAATCCAAAAATTGAACGATTGAAAAACTGAAAAACTTAAATCGAGATATGTATTGAAAGATCGAAAAAAATGAAAGTCGAAAAATCGAAATACAAAAATCTAAAAATTTCAATTTTTCAATTATTAACTTTTCGATTTTTCAATTTTGGTCTAATTTGATTTCTTAATTTTTTGATTTTTTGGCTCCTCTACTGTTGATGTTTTGATTTCTCGATGTTTCAGTTTTTGAACATTCCGATGTTTCGATTTTTCGACTTTTTGGCTTTTCGAATGTTCAATTTTTTGATTTTTGAATTTTAGAATTTTGTTTTTTTTTTTATTTTTTGGTGTTTCGATTTCCCAATTCTTCAATTTTTCGATATTTTAATTTTTCAATTTTTCGAATTTTTCAATTTTGGATTTTTCTTTTCTTCTATTTCTCGATTTTTGGATTTTTTAAATTTTACATTTTTCGATTTTACTATTTTTTGATGCTTGGATTTCTCAATTTTTCAGTTCCATGCTTTTTCAATTTGTCGAATTTTTAAATTTTAGATTTTTTGTTTTTTTTTTTGATGTATTGAGTTCTCGATCATTCGATTTTCTGAGTTTTCAGGCTTAGATTTTTTTTTGTTCAATTCTTGGATTTTGAAAATTTTTGTTTTTTAAATTTTCCTATTTATCAACTTACTGGGATTTCAATGTTTTGACTTTTTGATTGTTCAATTTCTCGATTTTTTGAATTTTTAGTTTTTGATACGATTTTTTTTTCAAAAATTTTCAGTTTTTCAATTTATTAACTTTACGGTACTTCAGTTTTGCCCGATTTCGATTTCTCAATTTTTCGACATATTACTGTTGGGATTTTTCAATTTATCGATTCTTCAATTTTCTTTCCAGTTTTCAGTTTTTCAAGATTTCAGTTTTGAATTTTTTCACTTTTTCGATTTTTCAATTTTCCTTCCATTTTTCAGTTTTTCAGTATTTCAGTTCTGGGATTTTGCAATGTTTCGGTTCTTCAATTTTTCCATTTTTTTGATGTTTCGATTTCTCGGTTTTTCAATTTTTCGATAGGTATTTTAATTTTTCAATTTTTAAGTACTACATTTTCCGCTAATTTTTTTGTTTTCCTTGATGTTTTGATTTTTCGATTATTCGATTTTTCAAGTTCTCGGTTCAGATTTTTTGGTTTTCCAATTCTTCGATTTTTAAATTGTTTAATTTTTAGATTGTTCAATTTCTCGATTTTTAGATTTTTCAATTTTTCGGTTTACCGATTTTTTTTTCATTAAAAATGTTTCAATTTTTCAATTATTAACTTTTCGATTTTTCAATTTTGGTCTAATTTGATTTCTTAATTTTTTGATTTTTTGACTCCTCTACTGTTGATGTTTTGATTTCTCGATGTTTCAGTTTTTGAACATTCCGATGTTTCGATTTTTCGACTTTTTGGCTTTTCGAATGTTCAATTTTTTGATTTTTGAATTTTAGATTTTTGTTTTTTTTATTTTTTGGTGTTTCGATTTCCCAATTCTTCAATTTTTCGAATTTTTAAATTTTGGATTTTTCTTTCCTTCTATTTCTTAATTTTTGGATTTTTAAAATTTTACATTTTTCGATTTTACTATTTTTTGATGCTTGGATTTCTCAATTTTTCAAGTTTTCAATACTCAATTTTTCAGGATTTGAATATTGAGAACTTTTCAATTTCTGGATTTTCAATTTTCAGATATTTTTATTTTTTTATTTTTTTAATGTTTCGATTTTTGGGTGTTTTGATTTTTTGATTTTTCCGATTTGTTGTCTATTTTAAGTATATTTCATTTTTCAATTTGGGCCTTCTGCTGCTGGACTTGACGGGCGAGGGAAGTTCTGTCGAAATAACCTTCGACCAATTTTTATACTTAGCACGTAGGGTTCTTACTAAGCATTCCTTATTTAACCGAACAGTTATTAATTTAACTAAGCAGCTATTATTTCACCAAGCATATATTATTTTTACTGAGAATTTATTTTTTAACTGAGCATTTATTATATAACTTAGCATTTATCATTTTTACCGAGCGTTTAAAAATAGAACAAATGGCGCCCAATTCAAACTTGTCTCTCGTCTAGCGTTCCCCCTTAAGTAAGTTTGTACCCACCTGCGACTTCGGCCGCGTCGAGTTGTTCCTCATCGGCCTCGCTTTGTACGGCACCTTCGCCGACGCGTTCTCCCCGTGGTGCCTCGTGAAGTGCTCCTTCAACTTATCCCTCCTCGAGCTCGCGTAGTCGCAATTCGAGCACTTGAACGGCTTCTCCTCCAGGTGGATGCGCTCGTGCCGCACCAGGTGCGACTTCTCCATGAAGCCGCGCCCGCAGATGCCGCACGAGTGCGGCCGCACCCCATTGTGACCCTTAGCGTGATTAGCCAATTGGCTCTTCTTCGCGGCGTGGATCCGCTTGTGCGCGATCATGTGACTAAGGAACTTGGTGTGAAAGCCACAGGACTCGCACGTGAGGTTCTTATCTCCACCGTGGGTCAACAAGTGCGTTTCTAAATTTTGCTTGAACCTAAAACTCTTGGCGCAGTGCTCGCATTTGAAGGTCTTCTCGGGGGTGTGGATTTTCAGGTGGGACACGAAGTTGCTTTTCAGTCGACATTTGAAGGCGCAGAAGGTGCACTGATAGACGGATTCCTCGAGGTGTTGCGCTCGGTGGGTGATGAGTTTGGAGATTTGGTCGGTGGTGGTGTCGCCTAAGATATGACTATAGTGGTTTAAAAGAGGGTATAGGTGACTTACAGTAGTCGCATTTGTACGGCGGCCCGGAGAAGTGGCTTTTCATGTGGTTTAAGTAGTCACCGTGGTACTGACACACGAACGAACAAATCCCGCACTTGTAAGTCACGTCTTTGGCGTGACTCAAAGCCAAGTGCTGCTCGAGAAGGAGGCTGTCGTTGATGGTGGTGAAGCAAATGGGGCACTTAATACCCATTTTGTCATCGAGTTCCTCCTCTAAAAACACACAATGAGGAAAAATTGGTCGGAAGGTGTTTCGACAGGACTTCTCCCGCTCCTGAAGTCATTATTTTTTTTTGCATCACCCTGTATAAGCAAAACATTACTGAACGATAAAAAGAAGCAAAATAAGAATGAGAAACGATACTGCAAACAAAACTCAGGCGGCAGCTCTTTGTACAGGTGGCTGCCTGGCTGCAAGTCATAAATCAGTGGAACGACCGGAAGTGGCCAATTTTGCATTTTGCACAATCTCGAGATCATATGTGTCAATTAAAAACAAATAAGTTTTCAGTTTTTAATTTTTCCATATGCAATTTTTCGTTTCATTTTTTATTTTCTTTATTTTTACAATTTTCCAATGTTCCGATTTTATAATTGATTGTTTTTTCAATTTCACTTCTTTTCAATTTTTCGTTTCGTCAATTTTTCAATTTTTTGTTTTTCTTTTCTTCAATTTAGCGATATCGCTTCGAGTTCGCAGTTTTAAATTTTCCAGTTTTCGATTTTCCAACTTTCGTACGTTTCAATTTTTAGATTTTGCAGTTTTCAGAATTGAAATTTCACGAGTTTTGAATTTTTATCTATTTTTTTTTTCATTTGTTCAGTTTTCGAGAAAAAGCGAAAGTAGAAGTTATTCTACGTGAAAGAAAAAAAAAACAAAGATTAAGCCCCACCCACCCGCCCCGATCTCAGTTGTGATAAGTTTTTCATTCCTAATCAGACCGAGGCGCGGAGTTTATTTAATTATGGCATCAAAATTGTACCCTTTTAAAAACATATTTCATGTGGTAATTTCTTGTGGAAAAATGAGGATTTAGCAACTAAATTCACCCCTCAGCTCACGATGCATACAAAATTCATCACAATTGAGAAGGGGTGGGTGGGCGGGGCTTATATTTTGTCCATTTTTTTCTTAATATATGAAGTCTTTTTTTTTCGAACAAGAAACTAAAAATATGTTACCTTGTTGTTGAAAGAAAACTCTATATATTAAAAAAAAAAGAAAAAAAAACAAAGATTAAGCCCCACCCACCCGCCCCGATCTCACTTGTGATAAGTTTTTCATTCCTAATCAGACCGAGGGGCGGAATTTAATTGTGATATCAAAATTTCTCTAGAAAATTGTACCCTTTTAAAAACATATTTCATGTGGTAATTTCTTGTGGAAAAATGAGGATTTAGCAACTAAACTTCACCCTTCAGCTCACGATGCATAAAAAATTCATCACAATTGAGAAGGGGTGGGTGGGCGGGGCTTATATTTTGTCCATTTTTTCCTTAATATATGAAGTCTTTTTTTTCGAACAAGAAACTGAAAATATGTTACCTTGTTGTTGAAAGAAAACTCTATACATATATTAAAAAAAAAAGAAAAAAACAAAGATTAAGCCCCACCCACCCGCCCCGATCTCACTTGTGATAAGTTTTTCATTCCTAATCAGACCGAGGGGCGGAGTTTAATTGTGACATCAAAATATCTCTAGAAACTTTTACCCTTTTAAAAACATATTTCATATGGTAATTTCTTGTAGAAAAACGAGAATTTAGCAACTAAACTTCACCCTTTAGTTTACGATGAATAAAAAATTCATTACAATTGCGAAGGGGTGGGTGGGCGGGGCTTATATTTTGTCCATTTTTTCTTAATATACGAAGTCCTTTTTTCCTAACAAGAAACTGAAAACATATCCAACATCCTGTTGTTGAAAGAAAACTCTACATATTAAAAAAAAAAGATTAAACCCCGCCCACCCACCCGATCTCAATTGTGATGAATTTTTCATTCGTTGTTAGACGGAGGAGGTAATTAATTGTTATGAGTCATACTGTATAAGAAATTCAAAAACTTTTTATAATGATAAATCACAAGTGTAGACTATATTTTGTACATTTTGGACAGGATTTTTTTTGTTCCTTCATTTTTTCGATTTCAAATTTTTCGACTTTTCAACTTTTGAATTTTTCAATTTATAGACTGCAATTTTTCGAACTGAATTTCTCGAGTTTTTAAATTTTAATTTTTCCATTAGCAATTTTTCGTTTGAGTTTTTTATTTTCTTTATTTTCTTTATTTTTACAATTTTTCAATGTTCCGATTTTATAATTGATTGTTTTTTCAATTTCACTTCTTTTCAATTTTTCGTTTCGTCAATTTTTCAATTTTTTGTTTTTCTTTTCTTCAATTTAGCGATATCTCTTCGAGTTCTCAGTTTTAAATTTTCCAGTTTTTCGATTTTCCAACTTTCGTACGTTTCAATTTTTAGATTTTGCAGTTTTCAGAATTGAAATTTCACGAGTTTTGAATTTTTATCTATTTTTTTTTTTCATTTGTTCAGTTTTTCCAGAAAACGAGAAAGTAGAAGTTATTCTACGTGAAAGAAAAAAAAAAAAAAAAGATTAAGCCCCACCCTCCCGCCCCGATCTCAATTGTGATAAGTTTTTCATTCCTAATCAGACCGAGGGGCGGAGTTTAATTGTGACATCAAAATTTCTCTAGAAAATTTTACCCTTTTAAAAATATATTTCATATGGTAAGTTCTTGTACAGAAATGAGGATTTATCACTAAGCTCCACGTTTCAACTCACAATGAATAAAAAATTCATCATAATCGAGAAGGGGTGGGTGGGCGGGGCCTATATTTTGTCCATTTTTTCTTAATATACGAAATCTTTTTTTTTTCAACAAGAAACTGCAAACATGTCCAACATCATGTTGTTGAAATAAAACTACATATTTAAAAAACAAAAAAACAACGATTAAGCCCCACCCACCCGCCCCGATTTCAATTGTGATGAGCTTTTCATTCCTAATCAGACCGAGGGGCGGAGTTTAATTGTGACATCAAAATTTCTCTAGAAAATTGTACCCTTTTAAAAACATATTTCATGTGGTAATTTCTTGTGGAAAATGAGGATTTAGCAACTAAACTTCACCCTTTAGTTTACGATGAATAAAAAATTCATTACAATTGAGAAGGGGTGGGTGGGCGGGGCTTATATTTTGTCCATTTTGTCTTAATATACGAAGTCTTTTTTTCCCAACAAGAAACTGAAAACATACCCAACATCCTGTTGTTGACAGAAAACTCTACATATAAAAAAAAACAAACAAAGATTAAACCCCGCCCACCCACCCGATCTCAATTGTGATGAATTTTTCATTCGTTGTCAGACGGAGGAGGTACTTTCAAAATCCATATTTCTCTACAAATATTTACCATTTTCAAGATGTTTTAAGTTTCTTGTTGTGAAAAGAAGGCTACAGGTATGATAAATAAATTGACTTTTTCATTAATTGTGATGAATCACACTGTATAAGAAATTTAAATACTTTTTATATTATGATAAATCATCACAAGTGTAAACTCATATTTTGTACATTTTGGATAGGATTTCTTTTGTTCCTTCATTTTTTCGATTTCGAATTTTTCGACTTTTCAACTTTTGAATTTTTCAATTTATAGACTTTGCAATTTTTCGAACTGAATTTCTCGAGTTTTCAAATTTTAATTTTTCCATTAGCAATTTTTCGTTTCAGTTTTGTATTTTCTTTATTTTTACAATTTTTCAATGTTCTGATTTTGCAATTTGTTGTTTTTTCAATTTTTCCATTTGCAATTTTTCAATTTTTTGCTTTTCTTTTCTATTATTTTGCGATGTCTCTTCGAGTTTTCAGTTTTAAATTTTACAGTTTTCCGATTTTCCAGCTTATATTTTGTCCATTTTTTCTTAATATACGAAGTCTTTTTTCCCCAACAAGAAACTGAAAACATATCCAACATCCTGTTGTTGACAGAAAACTCTACATATTAAAAAAAAAACAAACAAATATTAAACCCCGCCCACCCACCCGATCTCAATTGTGATGAATTTTTTATTCGTTGTCAAACGGAAGAGGTAATTTCAAAATCCATATTTCTCTATAAAAATTTACCATTTTCAACATGTTTTAAGTTTCTTGTTGTGAAAAGAAGGCTACAAGTATGATAAATAAATTGACTTTTTCATTCATGGACTGATGTTTTGCATATTTTGGATAGGATTTATTCGACAAAATTTTGAGATGACGTAATCAATTTTTGGGGTTGATAAACAGATACATTTTGCATAACGATTTACCATGATTACGATAACTTTAAAATATTTACAAGATTTTAGAGCATTATATTTTGTTTTTTCTTTTTTTTTTTTACTCTTTACTTGATACATATAGTTTTTTCCGAGCAACACCACCACTGAAGAACACGCTTCATATGGTAATTCTTGTAGAAAAATACGGATTTTGCAGTTAAGCTCCGCCCCCTTTGACTAACGACGAACAAAAAAAAAAATGCGTCACAATTGAGATAGGGTGGGTGGGTGGGGCTTATGTTTTGCATTTTTTCTTCTTCTTAATATATATTGTTTTTCTTCCATAACAAGAAACTGAAAACATGTTTAAAATGGTAAATTTTATCCCATACATTTCTCTATTAATTTACCCTTTTAAACATATTTTCAGTCTCTTGTCGTGAAAGCAAAAGGACGTGCATATATTAAGAAAAACAAACGCAAAATATAAACCCCGCCCACCCACCCACCCGCATTTCAATCGTGCTAACGTTTTTATTCGTTGTGAGTCGAAGGGCGGAGTTTATTGCAAAATGCTTATTTCTCTACAAGAAACTATTATGTGAAACATGTTTTTAAATGTTGTTAAAATACACTATATATGTTAAGAAAAACAATCCAAAAAATAAGCCCCTCCCACCCACCCGCGTCTCAATTGTGATGAATTTTTCATTCGTTGTCAGACCGAGGGGCGGAGCTTATTTGTAAAATCGATGTTTCCTGATAAAAATTTACCATATTAAACGTTTTAAATATATTGTCCTGAAAAGGCAAAATTGCTGATGTTACTCGTTGTGAATATTGAAATTCTAAAAAATTGTTATCCTTCATACATTGATTAAATATATACGTAATAAAATTCCTGTTATTGATCTCAAGCTGTAGAAGTTTTTGTGAATTTTTAGAATTAAAAAAAAAAAAGTCTTTGAAAGCAGCACATTGAGATTTTTTAATTTTTAGGCAACTTTTCCAAAAGCTCAATTTTTCCTTATGAAATTTTCGACCATCTTTGAAAATTATCTGAATAGATTTTTTTGATACCCAGAATTTAATTTAGCTTCATTTCTTCGAAAAATTTCACCAATTTTCAACGAAATTTTCGAAATTTCACTAAATACATTTTCTTGTAGATTTCGGGCCGCAGAAGTCATATCCGCTTTCATTTCTTCGACAACTCCAATGGTTTTTCCAGAACCGTCCTTTAAAATGTTCAAAAATATGCAAAATGCGCCCAATTTTCAACAAAATTTTCGAAATTTCACTAAATACATTTTCTTGTAAATTTCTGGCCCTAGAAGTCATATCCGCTTTCATTTCTGCGATAACTCAATGGTTTTTCCAGAATCGTCCTTTAAAATGTTCAAAAATATGCAAAATGCGCCCAATTTTCGACCAATTTTCAACAAAATTTTCGAAATTTCACTAAATACATTTTCTTGTAGATTTCGGGCCGCAGAAGTCATATCCGCTTTCATTTCTTCCATAAGTCGAATGGTTTTTCCAGAATCGTGCTTTGAAATATTCAAAAATATGCAAAATTGGCCCAATTTTCGACCAATTTTCAACAAAATTTTCGAAATTTCACTAAATACATTTTCTTGTAGATTTCTGGCCCTAGAAGTCATATCCGTTTTCATTTGTTCGATAACTCAATGGTTTTTCCAGAATCGTCCTTTAAAATGTTCAAAAATATGCAAAATGCGACACGGATTCACACACCATAAGTGCAGGAGTATCTTATTTTATAAAATTAAAAAAACTTTTTATTTTAAATTTTGAAGATGACGTCATAGTATTTAACGATCTACATGATATTCCAAATATATATACAAAATTTGACAACAATCGCTCCAGTAGTTTCGTTTGTTAAATAAAAATGGATACAGACGGAAACGGGAGACCTATTTTTTGTTTTTTCTTGATGTTTTAAAGTTATAAGCATGGTAAATTTTTGATTTGATCAAAATGTTTGCTCATCCCCCCTAAAAAATTGATGACGTCACCTCAAAATTTTGATGAATATGTCCTATCTTAAATGGGCAAAATATTATGATTCTATACTTGTGATTTATTTTTAATACATAATTAATATTTTTTAAATTTGCTTATACAAGGTGTCGCAGAAAAAAACTAAAAGTTATTAAAAAATAAATATCCAATCAGATTTAAGAATTTAACTCGCCCACCATCCCCCTACTTTCTCAGAGTTTATATCATTTGCCAAAATAAGTTTTACCTTAGCAAGTACTAGCCCCGCCCACCCGCCCCCTACTTTCTCAGACGATATATGATTTGCCCAAATAAGACTTATCATAGTAAACACTAGCAAGTACTAGTCTCTGAGAAAATAAAGGGCAGGTGGGCGGGGCTAGTACTTGCATTTAATCAATGTACTTGCTAACATTAGTCTTATTTTGGCAAGTGCTAGCCCCGCCCACCTGCCCCCTACTTTCTTAGAGTTTATGGCATTTGCCAAAATCAGTCTTACTTAAGATAAAACTGATTTCGGCAAATGACATATCCTCTGAGAAAATAGAGGGCGGGTGGGCGGGCCTAGTATTTCTTAAGATAAAACTGATTTTACCCCTACTAATGTTGTAAAAACTTGTGAAATTTAAAGGTGTTAAATTGCAAATTTCCATAGAAACCAGTTAAATTCCTAAATCTACCCGAAATGTGCAAAATATGAGTTTTTTTTTTAATTTTGCTTATACAGGTGGCTCAAAAAATTTATGAATGTGTCAATTTATTGTATTGATTAAATTAGGCTCACTCCATTTTCCCTGAAAATTTTGGGAATACAATACTGTAATTTTTAGTATTGGAGTGCACCAATCGAAGTTGATATACGTGTCCTTGAAAAATTTTTGTAAAGTAAAAACTCATTAGAAACATACGCGTAGCATGCTCCTTTACATATTTACATATGTTTATTTCAACTTATAGGGGTTCTCAAAAAATATGAAATCCGCAAAATCAAATTTTATAATTTTTCGAAAAAGTTGGATATGTTTCATTGTGTTTCAGAAGCGAGGAAAGTTCTTTCGACCAATTTTTTTACCTTCTTCGTCCTGCCCCGAATCCGTCACCGGCAAACTCTTCTTCTTCGACGTGAGCATCTTCAACGCCGCCATTCTTAAGCTAGGTTTTAAACCAAATAACATCAGTCTTTTCAAAATGAGTTGCTTTTTGTTCCGCAGTTTCGCTTTAACTAATACTGAACTAAAATTGTTCTGCGACGAGTTCGAGTCGTTCTTCTCTGAAACGATAATCTTGTCCGATTTCGAGTCTTCTTCCTCGTGTTTGTTGCACGAAATCAGCTGCAACTGAATTATTACGTGCGACGAAGACTTTTATCGCCAAATGGGTACCTGTCCGTATTTTATGTGCAGACCGTCGTAGCGCGACTTAAAATTAGACAGCATCCAGTTGTTCTGGACCAAGTAGTCCAGAAATCGGTACAACGACAGCTCGCTTTTGCTATACAAAATGCAGGTATCTAGGTGCTTGAAAACTTCGGCGGGCTCTAGAGAATTCGCGGGAAAACATTTGATAAGTCTATCGAAGTAATGTTCACGTTTTTCGACGTTGTGTAAAACCCATTGTGACAACACGTTTAAAGCTTTGGCAGTCGATAGCACGAAACTCTAAAAAAATTCATGAAAAGTGCGTTACAAATTCGTAATTTGTTACTTTATTTCTGAAGAAATCCTGCAGCTCGTGGACGTTTAAGCTGATGATTTCGTCCCCGTCGCAGACCTCATCAATGTGACTCATTATCCAATTCTCAACTATATTTCCTAAATGTTTCAATTTAAAACGTTGCGTTAAAAAATATGTAAAGAGACAATTATCTAAATTCAGTTTGGTTCCTAAAAATTCTATGCAATACTCTATTACTTTAGTTATTATAAAGTGATCGGCTAGCTTGAGTAGCTCTTCTACATTCGAGTGTTCAATAGTGATCTCGCCTGTATACATGTATGTCAGTATTGTGTTAAAAATTTCACTATCTAAGCAAGTTATAATTAGTTGTTCTCTGATTATTTTGTGATGTTTTAGTATTGAATCGAAATAGGGAGAACTGCATGCGAGTACGTTACGGTGGGCTTTGATGACTTTGTTGTTGACGTGCAAAGTCAGATCGCAGAATCTGTTCGACTTCTTTTGGTCGTATAATTTTTGGAACATTGTAGACGATAGTTCCGAACAAACAAAAGTCATTGTGTTGTTATCCTCCATTGCAATCATCTAAAAAAAGCAAACTTGATAGATTTTGAAAAACAACCAAGGACCTCAGATTTGTGATTACTGACTCGGACTAGAACTTACAGTGTCCCGGAACGCTAAACACAATACTTTCACATATTTATTTAATATTATCGGTCTATTATAATTAAATTGTAACTAGGAACACTGCACCAGGTCATTTTGACTCATTGACAAAGTGACACATTTGACAGGCCACAACAAAAATAAAACAAACAAGAGGGGCAACCTGACGACAAAAACAACCAGATTTAAATTAACACCAGTTAACACCACAAAAACACAGCTGCAAAGTCAAGCGTGACTAAAAACGTTACGAACTTGAAACAGTGCTTCGTTTTATAAAGCGAATTTATTTTTTAAGACGGTGTTTCAACCCAAAGTGCACAAACCTCGAAAACGCAAAGTCCCCACGTCTCGCCGACTTGTCAATTTGACACTTGCCGTCTCAGTGGGCGGGGATATTTTCGGCTTTGTGGCAAATTATTAAATGATTTTTTTCACAAAAAATGTCTCACCAAACTGGAATTAAAGGTAAATATCGAAACAACCCCAATTTGGGTTGGTTTTTCAATAAGTGACGTTAATTTTGTCTGTCATTGTAGCCAACGATGACTTGAAGAAATTTTTGGGTAAATGTCGAGACGGCAAAGTCAGAATCGTGAAAATTTCGATCGAAAATGGTAAATTTTGTTCGTTTCTGGGTTTTCTCGCCCGTAATGTGCGCGTTTTGGTTCCAGAACAGCTAGTTCTTGCCAGTCACAAAGACGTTAAATCCACTTGGGAGAAAGACTTTGATAAATGTATAACACCACTAATAGAAGAAAACCAACCTTGTTATCTCTTGTACAGGTAAATAATGAATCGTTTGTCGTACTTTGCTAGTGTTGGTCAATTTAGACTAGACTCCAAGAACTCATCCGGGTACGAATGGCTTTTTGTAAGTTGGTCGCCTGACACGGCCCCCATTCGCCAGAAAATGTTATACGCTTCCACTAAAGCAACCCTGAAACAAGAATTCGGGACGTCGCAAATTAAAGAGGAACTGCATGGCACCATTTTGGTAACAATTAAAATCAAATTTGTAACTTTAGTAGATCGGGTTTTTAGAGTGATATAACCTTGAACGGGTACCAAAAGTACAAAAAAGCTTCCGTGGCCCCCGCGCCACTAACAATAAGAGAAGAAGAACTCCAAGAACTCCGGAAAACTGAAGTTCATACTGATATAAGTGTAGACAGTAAACAACAAACTTTAACAGGTGTGGCCTTTCCAATAACACAAGCGGCTAAGCAAGCCATTATTGACATGGCGAGAGGTTCATATGACTATTTACAACTTAAAATAAGTGAGTATTGGGGCGAAAATGACTCTCTTTTATCGTGTGTGTTTAGATATTGAAGAAGAAACAATTCATTTAGTTATTGCTGAGAACATCAGTATTGAGAAACTTCCTTCTAAAGTTCCTGAAGATAGTGGGAGATACCACTTGTACAATTTCAAGCACACCCATGAAGGAGATTATATGGAAAATATAGTATTTATTTATTCTATGCCTGGATATAGTTGCCCTATTAAAGAACGTATGCTGTACTCTAGTTGTAAAAATCCACTGACTGATACAATAACAAACTTGGGTCTCGAAATAATAAAAAAGGTGACTTAAATATATGTTGGTACGTTTCAAGTGACAGGCGATTTTAGGTGGAAATTGATTCCGGGACAGAACTAACTGAAAACTTCTTGTACGAGGAAATACATCCAACAAAAAATCTACACCGTCCTAAGTTTGCCAAACCCAAGGGGCCCCCAAACAGAGGACCAAAGCGGATGACTAAGTCTCAAAACGCGGAAAATTGAAACGGTGGTTGTTTATCGCTTAATAAAATTATTTATTTTCGTTAATACGTGCTCAAGTAGACGTTTTTATAGCTTTTTCATAACAAATATTTTTATATTCGAACAAGTCAAGCTCATCGTGGGTGTAAGTATTATTTTTGTTTATCAGCGCTTTTGTGTTACTTAGATATTTAAAATAAATGCAATCTTTATACATTTATTTACTGTTTTCAACACGTTTTTCTAAATTTTGTAGATCCTTTCCGGCCGCACCGATTTTTTCGTTGTGGTACAGAATCATCCCTCCTTCCTCTTTGGCGCAGTATTCGGCCTGGCTTTTCTGGATGTAGTTTTGCCTTTCCTGTCGCCAGTAGTACTGCCAATACCGCGCCTCTTCCATTGTCATTCCTGTTAAACTGAGGATTCCTAGAGTGACTGAACCCGCCATTAGTCCTAACACTGACCCTAATAAGGGTACGTGATTACGTTTTTAAGGGTTGAAAAATTAACAGACCTAAACCGCCACCTACAATCATCCCTCGCGGCCCCGAATTTAACTTGTACAGCGAACCGCTAACTAAACCTGCTGCAACATAATCCAAAATCCCTGTTTTCCCTCTATATACAGATATGGTAGTTGAAACGCCTCTAAACAAACAAATTAATAAACAATAGTATAATAAATAGTCCTTACACAAAAGTGGAGCAAAAAAGGGACAACCTCCACGCCCATTTCCACGCCCCTTTGCCAAAACTTTTCGTGACTGCGTCTTGTAGACGTTTCTGTTACAAAACGTACTTTACACAAAATTAACCACCCGAAAACACTCACTTTTGCCTCTAAGTGGTCATTAAAAGCCGTCGCTTGGTTGTTTTTTATAAAGTTCATGTAAGCCACTCGACTATGAATGACGCCCCCATAGAGGGCCCCGACGAACAGGCTCATCGCCCCTACGTGCATCACCGTGACCACCTCTTTGCTAAGTTCGCCAAACTCGCTAAAATTGCTCAATTTAACCAAATTTGATTAGCAAAAACACGAATACTGACTCCACTTGGAACATTCGTTGCACCCTCTCCCAACCTGTCTCATTCTCGATTTTCGCTATGTCCGCCTTTTTTTCCGTTTGCGTACTCCTGTTTAACAGATCTTGACTCCCGACGTCACTCGTTCCGAAAATATTAAGCGCGAAAGTCGTTTTTAAAGCATTTCGTATCATTTTACTTTTAGGTTATGTCATAGGGTTATGTTGCCGGTTACATAACCTAGTTTTTCGGGTGGTTCTAGGGTGAAATGAAAAAACCCCAAATGACACAATGGCGGCTAAAAATATATTCTCACTTAAATTAGCAGCACTTATAAAAGTATAAATATGTGTATAAATAAAAATTTTCTAGTTACGGACAGCTTCGTTGTTCACTTTAGGCATGAACTTAACATAAATTAATTGCACGAGATTCTTATTAATTCTACAACTGATTGTCAACGTCTACAAAACGTTGAACATTTTTAAGAAAGACGTCTTTGATGTGGCCGCAATTAGTGTTCTGGGTTTGCTCCAAGTACGTCTCCAGAGGCTGATAAAAGTCCTTGAATGTGTCGCCACCTAACTGAAACTACGAAAACAACGTTAAATCGGGTTATTCAGTTGGGTTTTGTACCTCCTCAAAAGCTCTGTAAATCGCCTGAAAAACTGGTTGTTTTTCTGAGTGGAAGAACCCGCGGGACCCGTGAATGACAGCAACTCCGTACTTTTCCGCCGGTTTACACACACTCATGTACATGCAGTGATCAGGTCTGAAGTTGTATCTACACGAATATAAATATAATTTTCCTGAAACACGGGTCTGTATACATTGGAATTCAGTCCCAAAGGGTTACCTGGGTGATAATGGAATATAATATTGATGATATCTTGGTCACCCCACGTGATTTTTAGTTTATACTTTCTATAAATAGGAACGACGTATTCGCTCCACTGGAACGCCCGCATTCGTGTCAGATTCATCAACATGACGCCAGAATTAACACCTGTCGGTCATAACAATTAAAATGACAAAAAAAATAATTATTTCGTACCTAATTTTCCATAAAATGGGTGTTTGGCGAAGCGGTTGTACCAACCAACGTTTGGATCTTCGTGCTCTGGGGCAAGCGCCGCCATTTGACTAGAATTCATTTTGTGGAAGTAGGTCCAGATGCTTTCCACCGGAGTCAGAAACAACGTGTCCGTATCCATGTAAAGAACAGAGTCCACGTCTTTCAGTATGTTCTAAAATAACTCAGTTAGTGTAAATTGGTGTCAAGGGGGTACACACCGGTAGGAACAGTCTCTGGGCGGCACACGGCTTGAACAAGCTTTTCCACTCGTCCGCGTCTTTCGTAGGAAACGTTAGTGTCATCACGTTGAACGTGAAAGCGTTGTTTGTTACCAGTTTCCATTCTTCCAACTACAATCAATCAAAGTTATTTGGTTTGAAAAGCAACCACCGACTTACTTTTTGATTAAAACTTTCAATCAAAGCGTCTTCTGCGAAAATAATGAAGTTTAGTTTCTCTTTGGTGAACATTAGTGCCGATTTTAGCATGTTGAGGGTTTCTAGCAGTCGGTCCCCACATGCCACCACCGCGACGACGATGTCAGTTCTACAAACACACTAAAGTAGTTTTATTTTGGTTTTAAAAACAACCAGACCTTTTAAATTCGATTCGTTCCGTTGTTTCTTCATACTGTTTTGTTACTTTGTGGCTTTCCTCTTCTTCGTTTACATCCCCCTTATTGTTAAGTATTTTAATACTGTAGAAGTAAAAAATCACCAAAGCTACTGAAAAAATTAAGCCGATCCTGAGATATGTGTATAATTTCATTTTCTGTTAAAATCCCGAACATCGTGTAATCATTTTGAATTATTTACGTTTTTGATAAACTATTGACTTTAGTGATACGTGACGTCAGAAGTGTCTAGGGAAATTCGTTGTCACTTGTCATTTTTAGTAACAAACTAAGTTGATACGTACGTGCAAATGTCAACCCAGTGTCTTGTTTACCGAAAAAATAAACAAAATATGTGTAAAAAACACTGAATACAACGTTTCCACAATCAGTCCCGTTTTGTTACTAATTAAACTACAATAAGTCGTTCATTGCTATGGAAAAAGCGGAGTTGTCGGATGACATCACTCACACGTTTGCCCTCGCAACCGACCAATACATGGTACAAGTCGAAGAAATGGACGGTAAATTCACCAATTTGACCCAAACTGTGTAAAAGCGTCGCTTTTCAGACGAACAAGAGCAACTCACTGCCGAAAACACCGACGACTCCAACCACGACCCCATCGATAAAGTTGGAACGCCCCTTCGAGAACAAGACCGCTTTCTCCCCATCGCCAACGTCGCGAAAATCATGAAAAAAGCAATCCCAGAAACAGGAAAGGTAGATAAAGTATGCTTCGCTAAGCGAAGAATTTTTGGGTTTTAAATTGTACCTTCCAGATCGCCAAAGACGCACGCGAATGTGTCCAAGAGTGCGTTTCTGAGTTTATTAGTTTTATTACGAGCGAAGCGAGCGATCGCTGCTACATGGAAAAGCGGAAAACGATCAACGGCGAGGATATTTTGTACGCGATGAGTTCATTAGGGTTTGATAATTATGTAGAGCCGTTGAAGATTTATTTGCTCAAGTATAGAGAGGCAGGTTTTGTAGTTGTCGTACGATTAGGGAGTAAATAGTGTGTTGCAGGCGGCCAAAAGCGACAAGAATTTGCAACCCAGCGAACTGGCGTTCGAAGAAGCGGCAGACGAGAGTTATAGTAAGACTTTATTCCACTAACAACCATTGCATACTTACTAAATTTTTTCTAGTGTGTTAAAATGAATAATGGTGATATTTTTCAGACACAACGATCACGTCGCGGAATCTTATTGCAGCGGAGCCGGGGGGCACGGAAACGGTCATTTACACGTATCAGGACACTAACATTCACCAGTTTCAGATAAATTAAGGCCGTTTAGTTGACTTGTGTACATATTTATTAAGGGAATAACTAATAAAAAAATAGTTAATAGTTATTTACGTGAACCCTGACTTCCTAGTAGATCCCGAGTTACGTCATCAACGTGGTGGGGGTAATATTGTTGATTTTAATGGGAGCAATGTAACACTAACAACGTCGTTTTTAGTTTTATGGACAGAAAATTGGTTTGCTCGCACCAGGTACCGTAATAAAACACCTCTTTATACGATAAATTTATTGTTACGGGCTATAACAACTACGTGGATTTCTTGGGGGCTGGTTTTCCACCCTCGCGGAATCCATTGCGGAAACGCCTTCGCACAATTTTCAAGTGGCGGAGTCTGCCAGTTCCGGTGGTCTTCCTCCTTTTGGCTTTGACAGACCAGTTGTCTAAAACATGACTATAAAGCAAACGCGTTTGTAAAATCGGGGAATACTTACATGACCGTAGTTTAGCAGAAGGGTAGCCACATTGGGCACACTGAGACTTCTGGATGTGGTACGAAGACCTACCGCATCTACGACACAACGTGTGTGTCTTATTGCGACGCTTACCAAAGCTGGAAGTACCTTTCGTCTAAAACAAACCCCGACATTAGAAATGTTGACATAACCTAACTTCGCAAAAAAAATAATTTTTGAATAAATAGTCACACGATAGTTGTAGGGGGCACGTTCAAAAGACACTACACCCAATTTGTGATAATTTATGCAACGGATGACTTAGATTTTTGTAAAATTTACACACAAAGTTGACCACCTACCATCTTCGCAGCTGTGTTGACTGAAAGAGGGACGCAGGTATCTGCTTTACCGGCGCGACTTTACTACTGTCATTACGATGGCGCGAAGTTTGAATTTTTGAAATTTGCAACCTTTGCGCTTTTAGTTATACAGATTTTTCGTCTAGAGTTTAACAAATTGCGTTTGGATGCGTATTTTTTTTAAATGTGCGATGAAAAAGTGTCCGCACTTGTACAGTAAGCTTGTACCGATGTTAAATTAAATCTCCGTTGTCTAAAAATAAAAAGCCTGCCACGGCGTCTCGGTGTAAACATATAGCGCATACTTGAGTCAAAATGAACTAGCTAAATGGTGAAACAAAGTTACTTCCAAGAAAATTTCCAAGTTCGGCCTATTTTCGAAAATTTCGTACGATTCGAGCGGTTCCTACCACCCCGAAAGTCCCCAGTGTTCTTTGTCGCATGTCGTGTTTAAAATAAACGTTTTTGTTGAAATCAAAACACTACGTGTTTGTAATAAACCGACGAATTCCATGTATCAAGTAGCTAATTAGTTAATGCATTTATTTTAAAGTCGACGGTTCGATATTTGGGAAATATGTGACTAAGAGTTTATTTTTACAAAGTGATAGTGTGCCTGATTCTCGAAAAGTGGCGCGCTTCGGAAATTTTTGATTTCTCAAAATGACGAATAGTACAAAGGTGTTCAAGACGAAGAAACGGAAGACCGTCCAATGAAAGCCCCACGATGATGTTCACGGGTGGATCTCACTATAAAAAGCGGACAAGTTCGAATTCCAGCAACACTCACCGTAAACACGACAGGATTCCCAGGAACTATGTCGAAGTGAGTCGAATTTTTCTGTGTTACATAATATTTTTGAGCACGAGATTGAAGTGCGCTCATAAAGTTAATTAAATCGAAATCGATTTGATGTTTTCGGAACTGCGGTGTTTATTCAAACATCAATTTCAATTGGAAGCACGTGCTTTTTCTTTGCCAAGAGTGTAAAGAAGCGCGGAATTGAGGAAAGCGATCCATCATCGGGTCGGTTTATAATCGCATTTGCATTGACTGAGTGAATTATGGGGCGTTTTTTAGACGCCTGGTGTACACAAAATCAGTATTATAAGGTTAAGGAAGCCTTCAAATTAGATAAACTGCTTAGAGCGAGACTAACGAGATTAAAGAAACAACACACTGAGAAAAATTAGGTTTTTAGCAATGTCGGTTACTCTCGTTTCGGTGTTTCGATGGTCAAAAGGGTACGTATATTTTTAGAACCCATAAATTTATTTCGGTTTATTTATTGTCTAATAAACTCCCGCGAGGATTTTATTTTATTATCTAATTCGATCCGAGTGGCCAATTTTTTCGTTCGATGTTATTTTTTAATCATAATTAAAACGCTCCCAAAATACACCCACTGCAATGTGTCAAAAGCATGATGTAGAGCAAAACATTGAGTGTTTGAGGGTATTAATAGGTTTTTATTCCCGCCGCTAAAATTAATAACGGTTTAATAAATCACAAATGGTTTAGCTTCCACAAAATCGGTGTGTCTTCACATTCTCTAAGAGCTGTAAAATCTGTATTTTCGGACCCACACTTCAGCATTTATTTGTCTTTGGCCGGGCTTTATTGACATACACATTTTGTAGTATTTGTTTTTATTTCGACGTTTATTTAACGGTAACCGAAGTTGCCACTGTTGGCCAGTTCTTAGGATCGTCGTCTTACTAGCAAAATAAAATGTGACGTCGGACTTTAATCGGTGAAATTCGTCAAAAAGTGGACATTAAAATTTAACGGATGTAATAAATTTTTGAAAGGGTAATTCCGAGTTGATGTGTTTTTTGTGAAGGCTAACGGCAATTACGAATATTTTTATGCGTGATAATATTGTTCCTGCGAATGTAATAATACCGATTGCGCAATCTGCATCGACGTTTAAAAATGGAAAGTATAGTTTTTGAATGAAATTGTACACAGCCAATAAAGTAAATTAATACCGAGATAATGCTAAAAATAGCGAGATTATATTTAGTATTTAACATTCCAAATTTAGTTTGACCGAATACATTTGAAGCATTTATGTTCTCAAACATAAAACAATCTCATTTTTGAGCTATTGGCAACATTCTTTGTTTACAATCTATTATTAAATTAATTTCGTTAGGAGCAATTTTCAAAAATGTTACGCAGAAGAGCGTTTTTTTAAAATCAACTGGAATGGGTTGAGTTTTTAACGTCTCAACCCATTCCAGCCGCCTATCTGGGTCTTCTTAGCTTAACACATTTCGCCTCTATTTACTTGTAGTATCTTAATCAAACAGCAATTAAACGTGTAATTGTCATTAAACTTATCACCGGAATAGTAAAACCTACCGTTATCAACATAACAATCAACCGTGCTTGCCACCCAATTAACTATTTTCCTCTCAGGGAAAATCACGACCGAGGCCAGTGCCGAGGCAAGCAGTCATGGTCCATAGAAACTACGACGGGTCTGTGGGGGCCAACTCCACGACGTCGTTACTGAAGAGCAGCTCCATCGACTCCGACGAGGACGATTTCCACAAGCGCCGAGGCAAGGAAATAACGAGACGAAGAGGTGCCGTGAAGCACCAAAGGTACACACCATAGAAAAACAAACTACGTCTAAATGCTCGATTTTCAGAGTACACGAAGTCAAGGGTCACAAGTTTCTGGCGAAATTTTTCCGCCAGCCGACGTTTTGTGCCTTCTGTAAAGATTTCCTTTGGGGGTTTTGCAAACAGGGTTACCAATGTCAATGTGAGTGACTCTAGTCGCTCTAATTTTTGTTTTATTGTTGTTGTTGTAGCTTGTCAGACTGCGGTCCACAAACGGTGCCACGACAAGTTATTGGGGAAATGCCCGGAGTCCGGTCGAGAATCAGAAAGCACAATCGTGAGTTAAATCCACAATCAATTAATTTTTATTGACGATGTTTTTCGTAGTATTTGCGGGAACGGTTCAAGATCGATTTGCCCCACAGGTTTAAGGTGCACACGTTCATGTCGCCCACGTTTTGTGACCACTGCGGCTCTTTGTTGTACGGTATTTACAAACAGGGGTTGAAATGTGAAGGTAAGTACAACGCGGTGACAAGGTTTCACTTTTGCGGTTTACCAAAAGTAGGCAACCATACATACACGTGGCAATTAACAGCTGTATTGTTGGTTGCAGCTCGCCTTACGTAATCTTACGCGCGTTGTTTTTATTCCGTTTTTATTGCTCGTTATCACAAGTTTGTAAATTTATTCGATTTGTTTTTGTTCGTCTCGGTCTAAAAATGGACCCGCGAAAGCGTGGACGCAGACAATGCCTACATATGAAATTTTTGGCATCTTTTCTTAATGACGGGTGACGCATACGTGAAACATTTTCGTTATTTATGAGAAATATTAAAATCTTTTTTGAAATTTATTAAAAGTGCGTTCAGTCCACAGTTGAATCGTATTTTTTTTATAATTAATTGTAATAGGTGCAGAGCCAACGCATTCGTCGGTTTTTTTCTGGTGTTGGGTAATTTCGGTTTAAGCCACGTTGGCACCGTAACCGGCTGTCTTAAGTAATAAACGTTACAGGAATATGCAGGCCATAATAATGGTAAATAAGTTGTTTACACGGTAATTAAGCCAGTGGATGTTGTCACGTATTTTATACAATTTTGTGAGTGTTAATTTTATGTTATAATAAAAGGCGCAAGTGAGACTCGAAAATATCGGGTGGAAGTTATTTTCAAAAAATTAACACTTTAAGTACGTCTTCATGAAAATGCCTCCAAGAAAAACAACGACGACAAAATCCAAGAAGTCACCGGCGAATTACTCAGCAAAATTTTTAAATGACGCAATAGACTATCTATTCTCGTAGACAAATAGGGATTTTGCAATTAAGCTCCGCCTCCTCGCTCACGACCAAAGAAAATTCGTCACAACTGAGACAGGGCGGGTGGGCGGGGCATGTTTAAAATGGTCAATTTTGTCTGCCACACTTGTCTACAAATTGACCATTTTAAACAAGTTTTCACTTTCTTGTCGTGAATAGAAAACAATGTACATATAAGAAAAAAAAAGGTAAAATATAAGCCCGCCCACCCACCCTCGTCTCAATTGTAATGAATTTTCTTATTCACTGATGTTTCACATTCTAAAAAAAAAAATTTGGCACCCCCGAGGAGGTTTTAAATTAAAAAAAAAATTGGTTGAAAGTTATTTCGACAGAATTTCCCTTGCCCCTAAGTACAGTCGCACAAATACAACTTCAAAAAATTATTACCAACTTTAACTTTGAGAATTTTTTTTTTTTCATCTTTATACATAGTCAGTTTTTGCTTTTTTTTTGATAATGTGAATTTAGTATCAACAGACTCCTTAGAGTTTTGGCACCCTTGGAATCTTTGAAATCTTTGAAATTTACAGAAGACTTTGAATTTTCACAGTACATATTTGGGATATTTTCACAAATTCAGTAAAGTGCTTAGAATTTCTAGAGAAAACGACCAAAAAGGACGAAAAGAACGAAAAAGGACTAAAAAGGACGAAACAGGACGAAAAACACGAAAAGGACGAAAAAGGACGAAAAAGGACGAAAAGGACGAAAACGACCAAGAAGGACGAAAAAGGACGAAAATGGACGAAAAGGACGAAAACGACCAAGAAGGACGAAAAAGACGAAAACTACCGAAAAGGACGAAAAAGGACGAAAAGGACGACAAGGACGAAAACGACCAAAAAGAACGAGAAAGGACGAAAAGGGACGAAACAGGACGAAAAGGACGAAACAGGACGAAAAAGACGAAAACGGCCGAAAAGGACGAAAAAGGACGAAAAGGACGACAAGGACGAAAAGGACGAAACAGGACGAAGAGCACGAAAAGACCGAAAACTACCAAAAAGGACGAAAATGGACGAAAAGGCGAAACAAGACGAAAGGGATGAAACAGGACGAAAAGGACGACAAGGACCATAAAGGACGAAAAAGGACGAAAAAGGACGAAAATGGACGAAAAGGACGAAACAGGACGAAAGGGATGAAACAGGACGAAAAGGACGACAAGGACCATAAAGGACGAAAAGGACCAAAAAGGACCAAAAAGGACGAAAAAGGACGAAAACGACGAAAAAGGACGAAAAGGACCGAAAAGTACGAAAAGGACGAAAAGGACGACAAGGACGAAAACGGCCAAAAAGAACGAGAAAGGACGCAAAAGGACGAAAAGGACCAAAAAGGACGAAAAGGACCGAAAAGTACGAAAAGGACGAAAAGGACGACAAGGACGAAAACGGCCAAAAAGAACGAGAAAGGACGAAAAAGGACGAAACAGGACGAAAAGGACCAAAGAGGACGAAAAAGACGAAAACGACCGAAAATGACGAAAAAGGACGAAAAGGACGACAAGGACGAAAACGACCAAAAAGAACGAGAAAGGACGAAAAGGGACGAAACAGGACGAAAAGGACGAAACAGGACGAAAAAGACGAAAACGACCAAAAAGGACGAAAAGGACGAAAAAGGGCGAAGGGGACGAAACAAGACGAAAAGGACCAAAGAGGACGAAAAAGACGAAAACGACCGAAAAGGACGAAAAAGGACGAAAAGGACGAAACAGGACAAAGAGCACGAAAAGAACGAAAACTACCAAAAAGGACGAAAAGGACGAAGAAGGACGAAAATGGACGAAAAGGACGAAACAGGACGAAAAGAACCATAAAGGACGAAAAGGACCAAAAAGGACGAAAAAGGACGAAAACGACGAAAAAGGACGAAAAAGGACGAAAAGGACTAAAAAGACGAAACAGGACGAAACAGGACGAAAAGGTCGAAAAGGACGAAAAGAACAAAAAGGAAGAAAAGGACCGAAAAGTACGAAAAGGACGAAAAGGACGACAAGGACGAAAACGGCCAAAAGGAACGAGAATGGACGAAAAAGGACGAAACAGGACGAAAAGGAGCAAAGAGGACGAAAAAGACGAAAACGACCGAAAATGACGAAAACGGAGGAAAAGGACGAAAAGGACGAAAAGGACGAAAACGACCAAAAAGAACGAAACAGAACGAAAAGAACGAAATATGAGGAAGAGCACGAAAAGAACGAAAACGACCAAAAAGGACGAACATGGACGAAAATGGACGAAAAGGACGAAACAGGACGAAAAGGATGAAACATGACAAAAAGGACGAAAAGGATGAAAAAGGACGAAAAGGACGAAAAAGGACGAAAAGGACCAAAAAGGACGAAAAGGATGAAACGGGACGAAAAGGACCAAAAAGGACGAAAAGGACGAAAAAGAACGAAAAGGACCAAAAAGAACGAAAAGGATGAAACAGGACGAAAAGGCCGAAAAGGACCAAAAAGTACAAAAAGGACGAAACAGAACGAAAAGGACGAAAAGGAACAAAAAGGACGGAAGAGGACGAAAAAGGACGGAAAGGACGAAACAGGACAAAAAGGACGAAAAGAACGAAACAGGACGGAAAGCATGAAAAGGACGAAAAAGGACGAAAAGGACAAAAACGATCAAAAAGGACGACAAGGACGAAAACGACCAAAAAGGACGAAAACGAGCAAAAAGGACGAAAAGGACCAAAAAGGACGAAAAAGGACTCTTTGTTTTGTTTTCTTTATGAACTGAAAAATATAAAAATTAAAAAATTGAAAAATTAAAAATTAAAAAATTAAAAATTAAAAAATTAAAAATTAAAAAATTAAAAATTAAAAAATTAAAAAATTAAAAATTAAAAAATTAAAAAATTAAAAAATTAAAAAATTAAAAAATTAAAAATTAAAAAATTAAAAAATTAAAAATTTAAAAATTAAAAATTAAAAAATTAAAAATTAAAAAATTAAAAAATTAAAAAATTAAAAAATTAAAAAATTAAAAAATTAAAAAATTAAAAAATTAAAAATTAAAAATTAAAAAATTAAAAAATTAAAAAATTAAAAAATTAAAAAATTAAAAATTAAAAAATTAAAAATTAAAAAATTAAAAATTAAAAAATTAAAAAAATAAAAAATTGAAAATTAAAAAATTGAAAATTAAAAATTAAAAAATTAAAAATTAAAAAATTGAAAATTAAAAATTAAAAAATTGAAAATTAAAAAATTGAAAAATTAAAAATTGAAAAATTAAAAATTGAAAAATTAAAAATTGAAAAATTAAAAATTGAAAAATTAAAAAATTAAAAATTTAAAAATTTAAAAAATTAAAAAATTAAAAAATTAAAAAAATAAAAAATTAAAAAATTAAAAATTTTAAATTCAAAATTAAAAAATTAAAAATTAAAAATTAAAAATTAAAAAATTAAAAATTAAAAATTAAAAATTAAAAACTAAAAATTAAAAATCACAAATCACAAATCACAAATCAAAAATCAAAAATCAAAAATCAAAAATCAAAAATCAAAAATCAAAAATCAAAAATCAAAAATCAAAAATCAAAAATCAAAAATCAAAAATCAAAAATCAAAAATCAAAAATCAAAAATCAAAAATTAAAAATTAAAAATTAAAAAATTAAAAATTCAAAACTCGTGAAATTTCAAATCCAAAAACTGCAAAATCTAAAAATTGAAACGTCCGAAAGTTGGAAAACTGGAAAATTTAAAACTGAAAACTCGAAGAGACATCACAAAATAGTAGAAAAGAAAAATAAAAAATTGAAAAATTACAAATGGAAAAACTGACGAAACGAAAAATTGAAAAAACAACAAATTATAAAATCGGAACATTGAAAAATTGTAAAAATAAAGAAAATAAAAAACTTCAATTAAAAATTGCTAATAGAAAAATTAAAAATTGAAAACTCGAGAAATTCAATTCGAAAAATTGCAAAGTCTATAAAGTGAAAAATTCAAAAGTTGAAAACTCGAAAAATTTGAAACCGAAAAAATGAAAGATTGAAGAACAGAAAAATTCAAGTCAAAAAAGCTGAGGAACCGTTATTTACACCACTGGATTTTACTTTATAGAGGTTATCAGATAGCAAAAATTGCAAAAAAATATATAATTTTTCGGAAAAGTGGGATTTATTTGGGTGCACTTCAGAGGCCAGGGAAGCTCAGTAAAAAAAAACCTTCGACCGATTTTTATAATTTATAGGAACTTTTGGAATTTTTAGAATATCTACAATCTTAAGATTATGTAAACTTTTGAAATTTTGATATTCAATATTTTTTTATTTTATTTTAATTTTTGGGAAGTGCATAGAATGACCAGAATTTCCACATTTTCCAAAATTTCTAAAATTATCAGGCTCCAGTTATACCAGAATGTTGAAATTCAACCGATTCCAATATTTTCAAGATTTCTAGGTCTACCACATTTTTCCGACACTTACTAAATTTTTTAGATTTTCTAAAATTTGGAGATCTCAAAAATCTTAATTTTTGAAATCTCTGGAATCTTTACAGTCTCCAAGATTTCTAAGATAATAATTAGCGTGTTCAAGGGCTTCAGTGCTCAATGTATGGAAACTTTGAACACTTTGAAAATTACTAGTAGTTTTATATAGCCAAAACTTCCGCAATTTCTTGGATCATTAGCACCCCCGGAGGTTCTTTAAAATTTTTAAGATTTTGTTAGATCTTTTATATATTTGGAACATTAGAACTTCAGTTTATTTAGAATCTTAATTACACAGAAATGCAGACGGAAACGTGTCGAAAAATAATTTGTTGACGTAGCAATATTTTATAGCCGCCATTGTATTTCACGAACTGTTTATTTACTGTCTGTTTTGTTAAAACAATAAGACGGTTTATTTTGAAATTAGCAACCGTTTTTTATTGCTTAGGGAAAATCGAACGGACGACCTAAATCTCAAGTCGTACAGCTAAAGAGAACAAACCCAAGTAACGAGGAAGTTTAAAAATACAACGTTTATTGGAAAAATGACTCGGGGCTTTAACTGGAAATACTGGTAAACAAGGTGCGAAAAACATCCAGGAATCGTTAATTCCAGAAGTCGATAAATATACAGACGAAGCACCACAAACGAGAAAATTCGCAGACAGTGTTAAAGAATTAATAGACAGATCAAACAGTTGTTTTCGTTTAATCAGAAATAAGGAAGTATGTCGAAACACATTTAAGCACACGTCTCTGCCGAGTTTGTCGTAGTGCAGTAAATCATTCACCGATGCTTTTAAAATATCAGTGACAAAGTAGAATGCAAATAGCTACCGTGTCTACAATGTGTGTACACCTATTTTTATTCGGTGCACCTTTCAGAGGTGTACAAAACAGCGTTTTGTTCCAAGAAGCGGTCTCATATCTGATATTGGCAATGAAATTCTGACTCGAATTTAACGTTAATGGATTCCACCAGGTGGATGCTACATAAGCGTGTTTAAATTATTACCGTGTCTTATTCTTAATTCATCATTGTATTGCGAAATCGCGCCTTCTCCAAATCGGTGTAAAAAAAACCGGCCGAGAATAATTTTTCGCCCATAAAGATATTAATTTTAAAAAATGGAAACAGGTGCAGGATTGTTATATAAAGCCGCAATAAATCAGCGCATCGAAAAAAATAGACGAGGACGTACAATTTTACCGACAAATTGTCAACTAGTTATTACAATGCACCTGTCCGACTTTTCCAGAACTCAAGTCGAACAATCGCGATTTTGATTGATGTGTTTGCGCCCCATCGGAAGCGCCTCTGACGTCAAGTCAGTCTTCTGCTTTTGACAAATCCAACGTCTGTTCTTTGTATACGAACATACAGGTGTTCGAGCTAATAAAGTTTAGCAGGAGCTTTCCGACGTCACGCTTTCGGCGATAAAAATAGGATTGTTTGGCATCACCGCTAAGAAATCTGCCAGTTTAACATTCAGCGCTTATTGGTGCGGGAGTTCATATGATCATTTCGTAAAAAAAAAGAAAATAAACAATTTCTGATCGGGTGGCGGTGTAATATTTCTCGATTTATTTTCGTGACTGGTGCACGTGGCAGCGAACAGGTAGCAAATAAATTGGCTCGAGATCGAATTGCATCGATCACGTGTTTTTTGCTTAATTGGTCGAGTAATTATAAACAAAATGCCGTACTATTCTGAACTTGGAATATACATGAGTCCTACTAGTAGTTACACGGGCACGTACGTGCCAGGTCCGTACTCCAATCATTCCTCTTTGTTGCCCTCGAACTTCACTAGACCTCCTCCTTTGATTAAACCGAGGAATTTCCGCGGATATAAACCCCTTCTGGCAACTATTACAGAAAACCAGTCGGCTTTAAGAAGGGTCAACTCACCCAAGCTGCATTCACACAGCTCGCCCAAGGTGGTGGTGGCCAAACCCATCAAAATCAACACAGCGGACATCGACGTCTCCGTCAACAAATACAGGAAATATGAAAGGTCCAAGCCGATAGATGACAAAATCGAGCGCAAATCCCCCAGTCCTAGTACCATAGAAAGCCCCAGAAGCTCCGTCGAACAAAAGGAAGCTAAACCCAATAAAATCATCCGAAGGGACAGACCCACGGTGCGCCTACGGACCATCCACACTGACATGGTCCCAAATGACTTCTCCACGTCCAACAAACGCTGGAGAGACAACTTCGAACCCCAAGAACTCTATTCAAACCTAAAAAAAGACGACGATAAACCCAAAAAAACACCAGGCGAATTACTCAAAGAAAAATTCTTGATTCGTAGTAGAGAGGACATTTTTAAAGAACCCGAGAAAAAGGTAAGCCGGCGAGGATCCAAGAAATCGACCATCCAAAAAACGCCAAGTTTCCACGACATTTGTCAAGCCATCACGACCAACCAAATCAACGAGGAGCTAAACCCAGGACAACCCATAGAAATACAAAGGCGACAAAGTCGACGATTTTCCACTGAAGAAATTTTCAAAGAACTGAAACGAAATTCAGCTGAGTTGGGGCCTGAAATCGACGCCATAATGAATCAGAAGAACAACGAAATTACAGAGGCCAGTCAAACCGAGAGTCGGGTCAGCGTGAAACGAAAGAAAAAACTAACCAAGAAAAAATCAAACGAGAAGGTCGTTCTTCCACAAACCCCGACAACTCCGGACGTCGACGGTAACAAATCGTTGCTTCAGCGAAGACCCACTCAGAAGAAAATCAAAAGAACTTCGACTAGTAGCAGTCTGGATAGTGATATCGTGGACGTCGATCCCGAAACGGAAAAAGCCTACCAAGAAGCCATTAGAGACATATCGCAAGTAGAAATAGAAAAAATTAAAGTCAAACCTAAACCTATAATCACCGCCACGGTTGACGTCGAAGAAATGCCAGCCTTGAAAGCCGTAGTCGACGATGTAGAAATCATAGAATCGCCTAAGCCTAAAAAGACTAATAAGTTCAAATTCAATGTGATAGTAGAAGAGATAGAGGAAGCGAAGCGAAAATCGATGAAGATTCCGAAGAAGGGGGAAGAACAGAAGGGCGTGGTGCACGTGCCGAAATCCAAAGAGCTTGTCATTTCGAACATTTTGAAGAAGAACCACAGCGCACACGTTGGACACATTTTGGACGATATTAAGGAGCGACCGAAGCATGAAGCAAGTGCGCTGAAAGCAGACCAAAAAGAACAAGAAATCAGTACAAAGGATAGCGCCAAAAAGACACAAGAGCACGAAGAAATTGTCAGTGTGGCAAAACACGAAATAAAGAAACCAGAACTAAGTCAAGTGCAAAAGAGCGAAAAGGTTGTCACACCAGAAGTGAAGAAAACATCTGCACACATAGAAATGAAGAAAGTTGACGACGATCAAAACGTGAAAGAAGAAAATTTGACGAAAGCAACCAGCGAAGCTAAAGTAGGCGAGAAAAAAGCTCCAGAAGTGAAGAGGTCGTCAGTGCAGTTGGTACTGAAGAAAACTAGCAGTGAAGAGAAGATTGAACAATTGAAGAAGAAACCAGAAGAACTTGCAGAATCAATAGAAGAAAGCAAACCACAAGAGCAACTCATACAGAAACCAGAACTAAAAGCCGCAGACCAAGAAAATCTAGCCAAAATCGTAGACGACAAAACACCGGTGAAGAAGCCGGAAGATATTTTGAAGAAAAGTTCCAGCTTTGAGGAACAATCGAAGTTTAAAGTTGATAATGACGCCAAATTGGTGAAAAAAAGTAGCAGCGCCGAGAAAGTTGACATTAAAACCCAACAAAGAGAAGAAATTGGTGACCAAAACAAATTACAAGGAAAATTAGCGGCGATACCGAAACCTCTCGTTAATCTGCAACCAAAACGTGACAAACTTGAAAAAGACGCGAAAACTGAGAATCCACAAAGCCCAAAAACCAGGTTTCCAAAATTAGGAAAACAACTCAGTTTGACGAAAACTGAAGATAAGTTAGTCGCGCCAAAAACGCCAGATTCAGAGGGCGAAAACTTCTGGGCTTTGATTGGTCCACGGGAAAGTATATACATAAGGCCGAGGAAAGTGATAAGGCCTGTTCCTCCTCCGACGCCGCCTCCTTTGCCTCCAACAGAAGAAAGGTTAGAAAGTTTGGTTGAAAAGGAGGTGGAGATTGAAGATACTAAAGCGCAGAAGAAAGTGGAACCTAAAAAGGAACCGACACCACCTCAGTCACCTCTACTTCAAAAGGATGAAAAATTGGTTGAAAAGAAGTTAGAAAAAGAAGAAATTAAAGCACAGACGAAAGTGGAACCAAAGAAGGAAGATTTGAAGGTGCAACCACCAACACCACCACAATCACTTCTTCTTCAGAAGGAAGAAACAATAGTGGAAAAGAAGTTACAAAAAGAAGAAACTAAAGCACAGACGAAAATAGAGCCCAAGAAGGAAGAATTGAAGGTGCAAACACCAACACCACCGCAGTCACCTCTAGTTCAAAAGGAAGAAAAACTAGTTGAAAAGAAGTTGCAAAAAGAAGAAACTAAAACACAGACGAAAATAGAACCAAAGAAGGTACCAACACCACCGCAATCACTTCAACTTCAAAAGGAAGAAAAATCAGTTGAAAAGAAGTTGCAAAAAGAAGAAACTAAAACACAGACGAAAATAGAATCAAATAAGGTACCAACACCACCGCAATCACCTCTATTTCAAAAGGAAGAAAAACTAGTTGAAAAGAAGTTGCAAAAAGAAGAAACTAAAACACCGACGAAAATAGAACCAAAGAAGGTACTAACACCACCGCAATCACTTCAACTTCAAAAGGAAGAAAAATTAGTTGAAAAGAAGTTGCAAAAAGAAGAAACTAAACCCCAGACGAAAGTAGAGCCCAAGAAGGACGAATTGAAGGTGCAAACACCAACACCACCGCAGTCACTTCTACTCCAAAAGGAAGAAAAATCAGTTGAAAAGAAGTTGCAAAAAGAAGAAAATAAAACACAGACGAAAATAGAACCAAAGACGGTACAAACACCAACACCCCCACAATCACCTCTGCTCCAAAAGGAAGAAAAATTAGTTGAAAAGAAGCTGCAAAAAGAAGAAACTAAACCCCAGACGAAAGCAGAACCCAAGAAGGAAGATTCGAAAGTGCAAACACCAACATCGCAATCACCTCAACTTCAAAAGGAAGAAAAATTAGTTGAACAGAAGCTGCCAAAAGAAGAAACTAAAGCGCAGACGAAAGTAGAACTGAAGAAAGTGCAAACTCCAACACCACCGCAAACACAAAAGGAAGAAAAAATAGTTGAAAAGAAGCAGCAGAAAGAAGAAACTAAACCACAGACGAAGTTGCAACCAAAAAAGACAGAACCCAAGAAACCTCAACCCGAAAACTTGGAAAAAGACACCCCCAAACCTCTTGGTCGTCTAACTCCAAAGAAAATCGGTCCTTCGAAACGGTCTCTGGTCAACAAAGCCAACAAGGACGATCCAGATCTGGTCGTGTTTGAGCCACCAGAGCCCGAACCTGAACCCGAACCTGAACCCGAACCCGAGAAATCCTCCTTCGTTCCTTTGCAGTCTAATCGGTTATCGCTTTCCCAGTTCATGCACCCTTTCAAAAAACCCGAACAACATGATGTGTGTCCTGTGGAATTGTACGCGACTCCGAAAGTAATCAGACATAGGCATTACCCGAGGCCGAGGCATCCGGTGCCTGTGCAAGAGTTGGACAGTGAGGAAACTAGTGAGGAAGACACCGAAAGTGAAGAAACGTCGTCGGATGATGAGTCTGACGACAATACGGTGTATGGCAGTAACAAAGTTGGTGCAAGTACGTCCTCAAATGACTCTGGCTTTGATTCGGGCGTCCCTGGCAGCAGAAATAAGGGTTAGAGGAGTTTTAACCTTTATTCTGTTACTTTTCGTACTAACCTGTCACACTACTAACTCTGTAAATCAGTTAAGACGGGATAAAGCAGGATTGTGTCACTCTGGCTTAATTTTAACGTATGGTTTGTCCTTGGCAGTGTTTAAAGTTAGCTAATCTTGTCAGTGTTTTGGTTTTGTGGAGGAGACTGTCTGTCAGTGTGAAGGGCGGTTTAATTTAGCCGGATTCGTCTAGACTATAGTCGTAGTGCCGTATAGCTTGATTATTGCGTCGACTAGTTGAACGTTAAATGCACCGCACCTATTAATAGGAACCTAATTATCTGGAATAATCGTTTTCACGCAAGCGAGCACATGCACATGACTCATGTCTTAAACAAGAAAGGATGAATCGAGATTTATGAGGCTTGTCTAATTAATTGAACTCTGGTTATTTTTCAAGCGATGTACATTTTTCTTTCGGTTTATAGCACGTGTCGTTCTTTTATTAACCAGAAACGATTCTTAAATCAACTAACTCGAATCTAGCGCCACTGGTAAAACCTGCGAAAGTGAAACCTAATTTAATGCAAGTGCAACAAACTGCCATTGTTTTGATTACTTCCAACTCTAATTCGTTTTATTTCTGTATACAGACTGTGATGTAAACTGTCATAAGAAATGCGAGAAACTCACTGCCAATTTGTGTGGTGTTAATCAAAAACTCATTGTCGAAGCGATCGAATCCGTACGGAAAGGTAGGTTTTTAATTTTAATTTTTGTGTCGGAGGAAATTTATGGTCTATGGATGGCTGAAGCGAACTTTAATTTGTGAACGAATCGCCTGCCAAATTTTTTTCGTTTGTTTTATGAGTAGTTTCGGAAATTCGGCCAAATTTGAGTTTACCCGGCTTCGTTTTAACGATGATTTTTTTATTGTTTTTTCTCTATCTAACATAACTAAAATTGTTTGGACACTCAAAATAACGTTATTATCATTAGACTTTGCCAGAGTGCCAAACACTTGAATAATTTGTTTTTTGTGGAAGCAAAAGGTGTCAAGGATTGTTCTAAGTCGAAGCTTCAGTTACAAGGACAAGGTGGCTTTATTTTACCAGAACAGGTTTATCGAAAGTTAAGTTTGAAAGTCAAGTACTAACTTTCTAGTTTCAGGGTTGCCACGTGGCATTTTTTCCACCTCCACTACACTCTTGTAAAAATTTCTCTAAATTTAAGTCACCTCTTTGTATCTTTTCACTAAAGGCCATATTCGCCTGTCGTGTCGTAAACGTCACATATCCGTAGTCTCTGGTTAAAAGTGCGTGAAGAAAGCATAGACATAACATTGACATTACAGTAAAAAACATCTCAGTTCAACGATCCAACTTTTTACATAGCGAGTGGAAAATACCACGCTGTATTAATTTTATTTTTATTAAATGATTGATGTTTCTAGATCTGTCGTTATAGATATCACATTAGCTAATTTTGGCGTTCAACATATTGTGTCATTTGAGCCCTGTATTTTCTTTTCTTTTTGCCACAAAGTTGCGTATATGTCTGTCTTCGTCATAGGTCTATTAAGTGTTAATATTTTGACGTATACGAAGACAAACGCAATGATTTTGGCTTACAAAATCGTTTTAAATATAACCGGACGAGCAAAAATAGACCATAATCGTAACAAGCCGCGTGTTTCGAGAGGCAGACTCTGGATCATCGGTGCTAGTAATAGTAATTTATTGCTAGCACTAAAGTGTCTGTATACCGGGTGTTGCAACTTTCGTTGTAGGGACAGTTGTTAAAAAATTTTTAAAAAGTTTTACGTATATCGCATGTAAAAGTGTTGTCGGTATGTACTCACATTACTTCCATTTTTCGATTTTTCAAATTTTTGATTTGTTGATGTTTTGATTGCTTGATTTTTTTAATTTTCGATTTTTCGAAATTTTAAATTTTAGATTTTTCACTTTTTTGTTGTTTCGATTTCTCAGTCTTTAGATTTTAATTAATTTCAGTTTTTCGATATTTCAATTTTTAAAACTTTCGGTTTTTTTGATTTTCACTTACTCGATTTTTCAAAATTCTGCTAGTTTTTAAATCTTACATTTTTCAACATTTTCATCTGTTCCATATTTTAATTTCTGGATTTTTGGATTTTTTAGGGTTTTAAAATTCTTGACTTTTCAATTTTTCGGTTTTGACAATATTTTGATTTCTCCTTCAAAAACGAAACATCACATATTTAAAAAAAGACGCTAGGAGTCCCTAAAAAATCCATTAATCGAAATATTGAGAAATCCAAAAATTGAAAAATTTCAGGCTGAAAAAAAAGAGAAATTATAAAATCCGGACAATGAGAAACCGAAATATTGAAAAAATTAAAATTAAAATTGAAAAACAAAAAATTGTAAAATAGGAACATTGAAAAATAAAGAAAATAAAAAGTTGAAACGAAAAATTGTAAATCGAAAAATTGAAAAATTGAAACGTTCTGAATTTTATTTTGGCTAAGTCGATGTTATTATGACAATTTTGGTATAAAATGTAGTTAAATCGAAAATTGAAAAATAGAAATATCGAAAAACTGAAAAATCAATTCCGAAAAATTGAAAAATCGAAAAATCTAAAAACGAGAAGGCAAAAAATCGAAAGATTGAGAAAACGAAACAACAAAAAAGTGAAAAGCCTAAAATTTAAAAATTCGAAAAAACAAAAAACTGAAAAATCGAAAAATGTAAGATTCAAAAAGTCCAATATTTTGAAAAAGTGAATAAGTAAAAAATCAAAAAATGAAAAGTCAAAAAATCGAAAAATTAAAAAATAGAAACACATTTTTAAAAATCCCTAAACTTAATAAACATTGAAAATTAGAGAAATCGGAAAATCCAGAAATTTAGGAACGCCAAAAATTGAAAAATTTGAATATGTAAAAATTAAAATGCCAAAACCGAAACGTCGAAAAATTGTAAAATCGAAAAATCGAAACGTCAAAAGATCGAGAAGTCGAAAAATGAAAAAAATGAGAAATGGAAGTGGCTAAAAATCGAAAAATGAGGAAATTCAAAATTGAAAAGTTGAAACATCGAAAAACTGGAAAATGAACTCCGAAAATTTGAAAAACGGAAAATATAAAAACGGGAATGTGAACAATCGTAAGAAAACCGTTAATTTGAAAATTGAAAAATCGAAATATCGAAAAACTGAAAACTAATTCCGAAATATTGAAAAATTGGAAAAATTGAAAATTAAAAAAAACGAGCAATCAAAACATCAACAAATCGAAGAAAGAAAAAACTGAAAAATCGAAAAATGTTAAGATTTAAAAAGTTGCAATATTTTAAAAAATCGAATAAGTAAAAAATCGAAAAATTTAAAAATCGAAATACATATTGAAAAATCCCAAAAGTGAAAAATCACAAAACTTAATAAACATTGAAAATTAGAGCATTCGAAAAATCGGAAAGACGAAAAATCGAAAAGTCGAAAAATTAAAAAATTCATTAATCGAAAAATTGAGAAATCGAAAAATCCATAAATTTAGAAACGCCAGAAATTGAAAAATTGAAAATTAAAAAAGACGAACGATCAAAACATCAACAAGTCGAAAAAACAAAAAACTGAAAAATCGAAAAATGTAAGATCTGAAAAGTCGGAATATTTTGAAAAATCGAATAAGTAAAAAATCAAAAACATGAAAAATCAAAAAATCGAAAAATTTAAAAATCAAATATTGAAAAATCCCAAAACTGAAAAATCCCAAAACTTAATAAACATTGAAAATTAGAAAAATGGAAAAATCGAAAAAAAATCCATTAATCGAAAAATTCAAAATTCAGAAACGCCAAAAATTGAAAAATTGATAACAAAAAAAAGAACAATCAAAACATCAAATCGAAAAAACAAAAATCTGAAAAATCGAAAAATGCATCATGATAGATACAGTCGCAATATTTTGAAAAATCGAATAAGTAAAAAATCAAAAAGCAACATGAAAAGTCAAAAAATGGAAAAATTAAAAAATTGAAATACATATTGAAAAATCCCAAGCTGAAAAATCCCAAAACATTGAAAATGAGAGAAATCGAGAAATCGGAAAGAAAAGTCGAAAAATCAAAAAATCTATTAATCGAAAAATTGAGAAATGGAAAATTCCAAAAATTTAGAAACGCTAGAAATTGAAAAATTGAAAATTTAGAAAAAACGAACAATCAAAATTTCAACAAATCGAAAAAACAAACTAAAAATTGAAAAATGTAAGATTTAAAAAATCGCAGTAACGTTTTGAAAAATCGAATAAGTAAAAATTCAAAAAATCGAAAAATTTAAAAACCGAAATACATATTGAAAAATTCCAAGACTTAATAAACATTGAAAATTAGAAAAATCGAGAAATCGAAAAATCCAAAAATTGAAAAATTGAGAAGTCGAAAAATCGATAAAATTGACAAATGTGGCTAAACATCGAAAAATGAGGAAATTTAAAATTGAAAAATTTTAACTTAAAAAAAAAAACGACAAACCGAAAAAGTGAAAAATCGAAACATCGAAAAATAAAAAATTAATTCCGAAAATTTGAAAACCCGGAAAATCTAAAAACGAGAAGATGAAAAATCGAAAGAAAACCGTTAAATCGAAAATTCAAAAATCGAAATATCGAAAGACTGAGAAATTAATCCCGAAAATTTGAAAACCCGGAAAATCTAAAAACGAGAAGGCGAAAAATCGAAAAAAACCGTTAAATCGAAAATTGAAAAATGGGAATATGGAAAAACTGAAAAATTAATTCCGAAAAAATGAAAATTCGAAAGATTGAGAAATCGAAACAACAAAAAAGTGAAAATTAAAATATTCGAAAAATTGAAAACTTGAAAAAACGAACAATCAAAACATCAAATCGAAAAAAAAAACTGAAAAATCGAAAAATTAAAAAGTCGCAATGTTTTAAAAAATCGAATAAGATCGGAATACATATTGAAAAATCCAAAAATTGAAAAATCCCAAAACTGAAGAAACATTGAA